GAAGGGGGGAGGCCTGGCGACGCTGCGCCCTGCCGGGCGCTCACTGACAGGGCCGGGGGGGCCGAGGCGGCCAGGGAGGAACAGCCAAAATGCCCCCTCGGCTTATGCGCGGGTCACCAATTTTTCCCAGTTCTCTGTGGGAAAATCGGTCCCTCGGCTTATACTCGGGTCGACTTATACTCGAGTATATACGGTACTTATGTACCACTTCATAGTACTTTATAGCACTCTCTAAGCCAGGGGTGTCAAACTCACCATGTCACGTGACGTGTCATGACCAGTGGTGGGATTCAGCCAGTTCGCACCACTTCGGCAGCTAATTTTTTGTTGCCCAGGCCCAGAATGGATTTCTGGAAGTGGCATCCACACAGAGAACTGGTTGTTCACATATTTGAATCCCACCACTGGTCATGACGTATCATGATTTTTTTCCCATTGCTGGAGCTGGGGTGGGTGTGGTTTTGGCATGACGCATCCAGCCCGTGGGCCGGCAGTTGGACACCCCTGCTCTAAGCAGTTTACACTGTCGGCGTATCTCCCACAACAATCTGGGACCTCATTTTACCGATCTCAGAAGGATGGAAGGCTAGCCCTAAGATTGGTCCATCATAACTTCAAACTGTCGCAAAGTGACCAATCATAGGTTGGGAACTATCTGTATTCCTCTCTTCTTGCTCCCATTTAAAGATGCCCTTTTAAGCAATTGGACAAATATACTGATGGGGCAGAAAGATACCCTATTCCAGCATTAAATTTTATATGGGTTCACCCAAGACTCTAAAACAGGCATGTCAAACTGCCGGCCCACGGGCTGGATGCATCATCCAGAAACTGCACCCACCCCATTGCTGGCAATGGCAAAACCGTCCCGATATGTTGCGCGACGTCACGTGACGTCGCAGGTTTGACATGTCTGCTCTAAAACAAAACACCGTTTTTTTGATGGAAAGTGCTTATGACTTGAAAATGAGCCCATCAAATTATGGTCTAATCAAGAAATCTTGGTTAAGCAACCCATATATTAACTTACTGTGAAGATTCCTTGCTTCCATGCTGAGCTTCTTGTTAACAAAAAGCTAAAAAAGATTTTTCTCTTCTTCAGTGGAAGACAGACATCTGGCAGAATACAATGAAATTGTTCTTTATGTGTTCCTTGTTTGCGAGTCTGCGATAACAACTTGGATCATACTTGTGTGAGTAAACACCCCACCAAGTCCTATGAATTTTCCCAAATGATCAGGAATAAAATCATTAGATTAATTCTCCTTACTTTTGTTCCTAAAAAAAAATCAAAGGATGTTAGTGAAATGGATTTTCTTGTAAATCTGGCAATTATGCTTACCTCTTAGACCAGCGGTTCTCAACCTGTGGGTCGCGACCCCTTTTGGGGTCGAACGACCATTTCACAGGGGTCGCCAAAGTCCTGGAGTTTTTCCTCATAGAATCCTTATGAAACGCAGTCCGGCATTTTTTTTTGTTTTTTCCCCCTTTTTTATGAGCTGTGCTATTCCCTCTTATTCTATTGGCTTTTGAAAGCCAATAGAATAGACTCTATTCAAGAGAGTCTATTCTATTGGCGTTCGAAAGCTAATATTTTCTATTGGCTTTGAACGCCAATAGAATAGACTCTCTTGAATAGAGTCTAATTCTATTGGCTTTCAAAAGCCAATAGGAATTGTCCAGGCTGTTTCTGCCATGCTGAGCCTGCCAAAAGTCCCAGTCGGCAAACGTTGCTGCAAGTTGTCTGCAGCTAAGGCGAGCTTTCTGGAAATTTCCACCCCTCCCTGCTGAGCAACTACTAAATGTAAGTAAAAGAGGGCCAGGGGTGGGAGAGCCACCCAGGAGCGCCTGGGCCTGCCTGCCGCCGCACCGAACGGGGGGCAACGGCGGGCGCTGGGAGGGTAGCTGGCCTGGCCTTCCCCCCGTGTTTTCTGCTCCACCCCAAATTCGCCTTCCTTCCACTCTCCTTACGCAGCCATCTATGGCCTTAATACAGCCCTCAGTCTGTCTCGCTTTCAACACCCCCTAAAATTCTTCATTCAGGCAGGCTTCCAGAATTCGGCTTGTAGGATGCAGGTAACCCCTCCCCCCTGTCCTGCCTCCTCCCACGGCGCCGCGCCGCTCCGCGTCCCATGCCTCCGTGTCTCAAGCCTCCGTGGCACAGAACTGCTGGCGTTATGCTTGGGCGGAAGATTTTTTTCTTTTACAGATAGGGCAGGTGGGCTCGACATTCGCGGGCAGGCAGGACCCCGCCCACTGAGCCGCCGCCTCCCCATCGCCCTCCACGCCAGCCGGCTCCCTCGCCAGACCTCCCAGCTGACGGGCGCATGAGTTCGGCGCTGCGTCCAGCTGAAGAAGCAGGCGGCTGGGAGGCCGCCATGGCGCCTACCTCCTGCGCCTGTCATCTGGCAACCCCCGGACCTGCGCCCGTCAGCTGGGAGGTCCGGCGACGGAGCCGGCTGGCGTGGAGGGCGGTGAGGAGGTGACGGCTCGGCGGGCATAACTTTTAAGGATTTTAAGGATCTTTGAGAGGGAGAGAGAAATAGAGAGAGGGAGCTGAGCTGAGCTGGTCCCCACGCCTCCTGATTGCCCGGCCGCCCTCCGCGCCGCGCCGGAGCCTCCCCCGCACCACCCGGCCCACCTCCCTCACCGTTGGAGGCCGCCTCGGCCCTCTGGCGCCTGGCGCAGCCCTGGGGCTGGCGGGTAGGAGCAACTCCTTCCCGGCTCACCGGGCTCCGTGTCTCAGAAGCGGCCAGGCGGCGGGGAAGAGGGCGAGGCGGCGGCGATGCCCGCATGTGCGTCGGAGGCTAGCCAGCCGGCCCGGGAGGGGAGAAGCAGTGCCTTCCGAGCAGGAGCTGGCGCTCCGGCCACGCCCCTCTCGTGTGTGATGAATCGGGGAAGGGTTTGGCGGTGAAGGGCTGCGCGGTGTGGAAAGGGGCTCCCGCGACCCCACCGCTGCGATGGCGCTTAGGAGGCTGGAGGGGCGGCAGGTCCCGGAGGGGCGGCTGGGAGAGGGCAAGAGGTGCCGGGATGAGGATGGAGGGCTCCAGGTTGGTGGGTGCGAGAGGGTGGCCAGCGGCTCCGAGGCGCGTGGATCCTCCGCGCGGCTTCTGAGGCCCCGGAGGTGACACCGCTTGGCTTTCCGCCAGGCTCTCCGCCAGAGCCTCCTCCCCTCCCCGGGCAATTGTGCGGAGCTGCTTGTGTGTCCTTGGCAGCGCCTGCAGGCAAGGCTGTGTGCCCAAGCCGAAACGCTGTGCTTTTCCTACCGCTTCTCCTCCCGTTGGTCAAAGAGGCAGACGCGATTTCCCTTTCCCTGGTTCTTTTCATCTGCGCTGGAAAGGACAATTTGGGCTATTTTATTACCAGTACCTGTTGCTTGTTTTATTACTTGTTGCCTTTGCTGAACCAGGGAAAATTGGTTAAAGTGATTTTCAGGAGCTGCAGAATGCCTCCAAGTAAAGCCGCAGCAATTACCCGGCCAATTTTCCCTGCTAGGGCATCTGTGTGTGTC